TACCTAATTCTTCCATTAGTGCATCAATATTTGATGGTAACTTCAGTAAATTGAAACTCTTGTTTCTGGAGCTAATAAATTCCATTGACATAAACAAGGGCAAAGAAGTTCTCCATGCTGCTTTGATAGAGGGAAGTCATGAATCAGATCATTTAGCTTTTCTTATGTGATCAGATGAGGCAGTTTATGTTGAGGTGCCACAGGAATAAAATTACTAAATGAAGAGGAAGATGATGATTCATTGTTTTCTTTCAGGATAACACTTCTGTTTTCCAATTCACTGATGGATGTGGCACTGGAAAAACCATCCCCATGAAGTACTGGTTTCATTGAAGATGCAATATCTGAATATTTAATGTGTTTTAAAGTTTTACCTGAATATCCAGAAATATGAGATGATTTTTGGGTTCATGCCATATCATGGGAAATGCAAATGGCATACTTGCTCTCTTCATGTTCAGCCACTGTGTCAAACCACATGTGCAAACTCTACAACATACATGTAGAACCCAATGATTTTCTTGGTCACAAATTTTATACCCAAAATTGTGGTAGTAAGCTACCTTTACCTTGTGTGTAGTGTTTTTCTTTCATGGACCTGTAATGTATTTTCCACAATTGTAGCAGAATACTGGGTGATTTTTGCACTTTTGGACTTTACTTGAACTGGAGGCAGCCAGAATTTTAAATGATATTCTAAAAAAATATAAAGGAAAAGTGACCAACTGAGAGGTAGCCATCTGATTCTGCCTCTTTTATGCTCAGAAGAACTGCTCAAATGTTCTAGCAAACTGAGCATATGAGGGTTTCGTAATTCCTAGCTGGAGCAGATGAGCGTGGGAATGAAGTAAAAGTTGTGCAATTCACTACAATTATATGGAGAACAAATAACATATATGAACAATATATTAGGAAATTTACACAGTACAGTCAGTGTTTGAAGGTATCAAAAATGTATGCCTTTTATCCATTAAACTGTCCAAATAAACTTAATTTGACAGCATAAATCTAGTGTACTGAGTTGATTGCATGGTATTTCACATAGTGCTGATATAACATTAAGATATTACAATAACTGAATATCTAGAGGTAATGGACAGATTCTGATTACATTTTTGAAATCAGCACCATCAAATTACCCCAAATCATTTGAGTTTTCTCCAGTAACAAATTTTTGTTATCCAGTCTTATTTACATGCTTCATGCATTCGCCTTGCATCTTCTGTAACTTGTACATCAATGAACCAGCCTGCTAGAGCACAAGGTGTGGGCCAATCCAGCTGTATCCAAGTTGTGTCCGTGCTGTCAGAGGCAAACTTGTGCACATTGACTAATGTAGATCTTAACCACTCAGCATATTCCTGTGGACCTTGTGGGACATTTTCTCGTGAGTTAGGACCATTCATCACGTCAACAAGGAGTAGTTCCTGCCTGAATATGAATGTGTTAAGCAAACAACTTGTCGACATCTGTTTAGTTGCTCTGTATGCCATCATCACATATAGCAAGTGTTTATCCCATTACATATGGCTGGATAAACTAACTTAGCAATTTCCTACATGGTAATCTATTATCTGTACTGCCATACCATAAGAATGTGGGTGATGTGAAGTGCACATTTTCACCACAACACAACTCGGAGACAAGTTGACTATGTGAACTTAGATTCCTTGAAATTAGCTCTCTGATCTCTGTGCAAAGATTATGATTGAATTCACAATTAAATTTGTGGACACGTGAAAAGGTGAGCTTGACTTGCAATCTGAGGATCACGGGTTAAAATCCCTGTCCCACCAAACATGTTTGCCCTTTCAGCCATAGGGGCATTATAATGTGACAGTCAATCCCACTATTTTTTGGTAAAAGAGTAGCCTAAGAGTTGGAAGTGGGTGGTGATGATTAGCTGTCTTCCCTCTAGTCTTTCACTGCTAAATTAAGGATGGCTAGTACAGACAGCCCTTGTGTAGCTTTGCGCGAAATACAAAACAAACAAACTTTTTGCATAAGAGTAGGAGTGTGGGAGGTGGGTGCTGCTGATTGGTTACACTTCCTCTGGTTAGAAGCTCTAAATTAGGGACAGCTATGTCTGAACCTTGGGATCTCTTATTTTGTTGGTTTAACATAAGGTAACATAAGATGCTTAACAGGTTGAAAACACCAAATACCATACTCGTGATTATAAGAATATTTTGTATACTTTAAATTTCAACCTGAAATGTGTTAATTCATTTATTATTCTTTCTTTTGTACAGTGTCCTAGGGAAAAAAAAGAACAAAACTCCACTCTAACCTATAGTCTAGAATATAATAAAGGAAATTTCTTTCTACAAGAAATTTGTCACTGCAAACCATTACTTTTATATTTCTCATTTATAAGTTATAAGTCTCATTTCTTTGAATTATGCCACTATAAAGAGGTGATGTGATATGGTTTTCAAGATATACTATTATAAAAATAATATATCACTGATTTAGTGTAGAAGGTATGTGTAGCTTACATATTGAAACTAACATGAAGTATGAATTTGTGCATTTAGTAAGAGAAAAGTTTAGCAAAAATGCAGTTCAATATACAAGCTATGTCATAAACAATGAGTAGTGGTGAAGTTATTAATGGTACAAAAAATTATCACAGAAAACATAAAGTGAATAAGTTGTACCATGCACAAGCATTTGTATGTGAAACCTTTTCTTTAGACAAAGCATTATACTTTGGTTTATGCTGTCATACAGTTTAACAGTGTCCTGTTTTACTCCCCATGATTTAACCAAGTTATTTGGTTACATTTTCATATTCTTAGTTTTTACATAAGTCAATACAGCCTCAACAATGTTTCTGCAGGCCATGTCATTGCTTTTTAACTATCAAGATACTCTTTTTGTCATACGTGCTGTATGCTTGGGATCATTGTCTCATTGGAAGATGAATCCCTGTCTAGTAAGTTGTGTTCTTGGGAATGTGTAAAAGATCAACATGCTTATATGCATCTTACTTTTCTCAGGGTAATATCCACAGCTGAAAAAAATTCACCATAGATAAAATGCTGAAAAGTATTATAGCAAAACTACATTTTGACATTGTTTGGTAAGTATTAGGTAATGTGATGACATTGAAAATTGATTATTTTGGGGAAGTATATGTAACAGTCCTTTCTGATGCAAAATATTCATACACTCAGATCATAAAGATGTTTTCAGATCGGGAATTTAGAACTTCCAAGACAGAAATATCCCTTGTGATTAATGAAATTGGAAAATAAAGGAGTATGGTTCAGTACTATCCAGAAAGAGACCTGTAACAAGTTGTACTTCAGCCATGGTAAATAAAGTGTGACATATTGTACCAGGTGAGAATCCATGAATACGAAGGTCAGTGGCAAAAGCTGTTCATAAGTCCCAGGCAACATAATCAAGAAGTATTTCCTTTTTGAAAAGCAACAAAAGCAAGTTTTCGTTATAACTTGATCTGTGTTGCAAATGAAACTTTCTTCCTTTCCAGCATATATATAACAACAGTCTTTATTTCATTTTGCAAAAGATGTATAAAACAAATGTCACATGTAGAAACTTATTGAATAAAAGTATGCAGGTTATGTTAAAAACGACCATCTGTCTATAATCTCAACAATATATTGAAGTATTTATATTATTTTATACCTTGTGTTCAGCTCTTTTTTTTTTTCAGCTAACTTGCTACCGATCAATGTATATGTGACATTAAAATATTACTTTATATCATTGATGAAGTTATTTCATCAAATATGTGCCATTTTCTGGACTAGTTGGTAAAGGTAACAACAACAACAATATATTACAAAATAACACATTTTATATTGCAAACCCATAACTGGTGTACATGTAAAGCTGTAATATTACCTAATAATGTCTGGTAGATTTTAATCCTTTCTTCTCATTTTATCTTTCTACTATAATTTATTTTAATTTCTTCTTTTTTTCCGATTTTCTCTTTCTTCTAGATCTTCTGTTAATTTCTTGTCTATTTCTTCTTTATTTCTTTAATTTTTTTTGTTTTTTATTGATCTTTTAATTTTTTTATCTTTTTTTCCATTGCTTCATTACTTGCATAATCTGTGTCATAATCTTGAAGTTTAGTCTGGATGTTTTTGACCAAAATAATGCCATTTCCGATAACAGTAGTGTAACAGTTTTTATTGATGTATGGGATCTTTTACAATATTCAGTCCATTTAATGATATGAAAGAGTTTTATTTGTTTGACTATAAGTTCTACAAAGTGCATGGTTTCACAAACTAACAATAGGCCTGACTTTACGAGATCCACTTTTTCTTGTTAATTTCAAAAATTTACAGCACTGTTGTAACTGACAAACTAACTAACAAACTCACTCAATAATCACTTAATTACTGTAACAGACTCACCAATCAATCAATAAACTCTTCTAGTCTCACCTAACTCACATTTTGTATTCTTCAAGTCATCTAAACTTTTAAGAAAACTCTAGTCAATGAGATAAGTATGCATTACATCTCTGAAAAAATCTTTCTCTAGCCAAAAGTAATGCAGATGTCTAAATTAAAAAAATAGCCTACAACAATATATATCTATTATTAGTATGGTATTAGCTTATAACATCTGTAAATATGTATAAAATGTTCTAGTTCCACTAGATAAAGAACTGTGATTTTAAAGAATATTTAGGTGACCACCCTATATACAGAATTCTCAGAATCTTGTATGTCAGATCCTATTGACAAGCAAAGTTTCTTTTTTCATTATAAATAAAATAAAAATTCACTCCCTGACTAAATACAAGAATGTTTTAAATTAAAGACATGTATTGAGATATCTCATTTTTTATTTGAGATTGAGACTTTGTTTAGTGCTTTCAAAAATGTGCTATATTGTTTTAGTTGTACAGTGCTTTTTGAGGATACTACAAACAATAATTAGAGAGGGGCAATATGGTATGTGTTGTGAACTTACAATTCACAATTTTCACCAAGATATTTCATTTCCAGTCGGGGATTTTTGAAGAGATTGACTTGAGGGACTTAAGTATAGCTGAGTGTAGTACAAAGAATGACAACCATGGTTTTCAGGTTAGTGAATTGTTTTACTGGTGGGTATAATTACTTTAACTTACACTGAGTATCTTGCAATTTGCTGATATTTATCTGTGAGGTACATCTAATTATTAAAATTAAATAAATTTATAATTTTGTGATGTTGTATTAAAAGAAATCTTCTATATACACTAAAACATTTTGAGAAATGATGATTTTAAATAAAATTTTAAAGAAAAATACACTTTTACTTATTGCTTCCCTTGTTACCATTAAGCATTATTCAAGGATATGGTAAAAAATAAAAAATAATTGCACAGGTCACTAGCATACAGTTAATGCCCAGTAGAACATAATGTAATAATGTATCTTCACAGTGATCTGTCTGTAACAATACTGATAATATTGCAGTGAAAACACTATCTAATTAACTGTGGATACTATTGTCAGTAGACACGTTTTTCATAGAAATTAGTATAATTTCATACATCTACAACCCCTTTTTACATATTACATTTACTGTTTTACTTTATTTTCCTTTTTTTTTGCTATCTTTAGTAAAGATACAATTTTTGGAGTTAATTTCTGAAAAAAAAAAAGATAATGAATGTTGAACATGGTTTTACTGGGTTAATTGGCAGAAAAAAGCTATTTTTATTACAAACTTGCATTTTTTTGAGAGTTAAAAACAATGAGCAGTGGAATTGTTCAGAGCTTCCATTTTAGTTATAAAACATACTGAGGATAATTATTCACTGATTTGACTTAACAAGTTTCATTGTCTTGTTTACATGTAGGTATTCAGTTTAAAATCAAAGAAGAGATAGCATTTTATATAGTAGATATGTGAAAATTTGTGTAATCTTATGTAGGCCAATAATGCTTATTTCATAGTGAGAAGTGGTGAGAGAGAAAAGGCCATGTGCATACATAAACAGTAAAGTAATTTTTTCTTAGACAGCTCTTATGTTTATGTATACTTAAAAAAGTTAACAATTTCTTCACTGGATTAAAGAATGGTATAGTATTGTGAATTTTCTACTTTACAGCTGATTACTCCATTTCGTCAATTATTTTTGTGTGCTGACTCTCGAAAAGATATGGAAGCGTGGATTTCAGCCCTGAAGAATGTTGGGAACAAACATTTTTATGAGGTGAGGAAAGTGCTCAGGTTATATAGGGTACTGTATCTTTGTGGGCAGAGCACAAATAACTCATTGTGTAGCTTTGGGCTTAACAACAAATCAAACCCCCAGTGGACACAGCATACCTAACCCATTGTGTGGCTTTTGCATTAAAATAATCAAACAAACTATAGTCATGAAAACAAGTTACTGAATTTTATGAAACTAGAATACAAAAATGGCACCAGGTATTGCTGTTTTTGATTTATTCAATAAATAATTAATAGTATAATGTATTTCAATTTAGTATTCAATATGTTTGAAACAATTTTTAAATCTTAATCTCCAAAGAAGTTTTAAAATAATGTTATACAGTTTATAATCATAAGACTTCCATAATATATATTTTTTATTTTTACTCGAGATTTACTAATGTAGAAAGCCTAAAAGACTTATGTTATTAATTAGTTACACAGAATGATTTACAGCATGGAACATTAATTCGGTTTTCATGATTTCAAGGTTGATAACATCCTTTGGGAAGAAGTAATTTACACCAATGTATAAAATAAGGTATGATTGTGTGAAGCTAATTTATTTGTGTTATTTGTTTTTTTCATGATCTTCCTTTAGGAAACTGAAAATCATGATTTCATGTCTGGTGAGCATCACTGGTTTATAACATCTCATGCTAGGCCAAACTACTGTAATGTTTGTAGAGAAGCTCTGTCGGGAATGACATCACGTGGATTATCTTGTGAAGGTAAGGGAAATAAAACTACTCTTTATATTATTTCAAAATACTCCAAGAGGAAGCAACAGTAGGTTTCATACTAAAAGTTTTCGTTTTTTCCTCTAGAGTTAATGAAGAAATTAATTCTGTCACGAAATATGTAATCTGAACAGAATGTTTATTGTTGTGTCCATGCTGACTTCAGTCTCTTAATCAGTTGTGTCTTTTATACACAGTCTAATTGCCATAATATTTCTAAGTAAACATTTTAAAGCAATTTAATGCATAAAACTTTCTGAATGAGGCTTCTTTGAACTTTTTTTTAATCATATACTAGAGTATTTCAAATTCGAAGACGAGGAACCCACTTTGAGACTAATAATGCTTGGAGATGGCTTGAATGGGGAAAGAAGAAAAACTTTAATATAAGTTTAACATAACAGCAAATGTACAACATTTTACATTTGCTGTTATGTTAAACTTATATTAAAGTTTTCTTCATTACCCATTCAAGCCATTTCCAAGCATTACTAGAGTATTTGTTTTCGGTAGTAAAAACTTGTCTTTAACCTTAGAATTACCTTGACTTTATAAACTCGTTTTTCTAAACTGTTTATTCATGAAATTGCTTGTAGATCCATGACTTTGTGAGTTAGGGTCAACAATTACATATGAATCACCTTAAATAAATATTTTAAAAAAATTAATCAGTTTTGCAATTAATTCCTTTAATTACTTCTGGCCCGTATGTATTTTACATGCAAAATTACTTATTTCACCCAATTTATTTTCTCAGTTTTGTACATTGAGTGTTGTAATGTACATTACTCAATAAGTTTCAATATTTAAACCACACTGGTAATAAACAGTATAAAAACAAGTCAATAATTTGAGGGTTAAACCTGAAAATAAAATAAAATGTACTAATAATAGGTTTAAAAATAATTATCAATTAACTTCAGGTTAGAGCAAGCTTACTTACTTAAAGCAAAATTAAAAATCAACTTAGTAATAAGTATAGCTAAGTAAATAAATTTACATATAAAGATTAGAAGGGATATTTTCATCAGTTAGGTCCCAAATTATTACTACAGGTTCAGTTTAACTGTGCTCACCAGTTTTCATAACTGAATGTTCAGTTGCAAACCTTTTCAAGTTGAGTCATCCAAACTGTGAGTTTTAGATTGTCGAATCTTAACTTCTCAGTCGTGATTTTCTTATGCTCTTAGTCAAACACACAGTAATGTCTACAGTTGAGTTTTTGTTTCTCAGAGGTTCATGAGTAAATGTAATTAAGTTGATAAATATTTGATTTAGTTTCTTAAAACCTATACATAATAATCTATGTCAATGCATATATGTGTGTGGAAACATGAAAACATTTTATTTGTGTTTTACTGGCTACACATAACTTTAATATTAAACATATAATACCCCTTGAAATGAACAGGACATATTCTGTGGGTTTTCATATACCAAATTATTTTTGAATATTAATTGAGGTTTCTCAGATGAAAATGTAACACAATTATTATTCAAGATGGAACAATCAGCATACAATATTTTAGATATAACTTTTCAATAGAAAAGTGTTAAGTTGACATTTGCTGGTGAATGAGGTTGACAAAGAATTTTCTTTTTTGTATTTTGCTGGTAGTTTGCAAGTTTAAAGTACACAAAAGATGTGCTGTTAAGTCCCCTAATAACTGCAAGTGGACATGTTTGGCTACAGTGAGAAGAGATATAATTGAAAATGAAGATCGGGTTTGTATATTTGCTTACTTTTCATGTAAAGTGAATTGCAAAATGTTTCCGACACAAAATTAAAAAAGTATTATAATTACTATTGTAATGAAAGTTGAGATATTTTTCATAGAAATTCTGTTTAGTTTCCAGTTGCATGTCAAACAGTTTTAAATTATAAGAGAAGAAAAAAATGTTATTTTTTACATAAGTTTCTTATATCAAACTTTTTAAATTGGTGAAGGAAACTATTATATAAAGTGACTGAGTTGTTGACTTTGACTAAGAACTATAGTGACATACAGCAATAATTAGGAAGATTATTTGATTAATATATATATATGTTTGCAGTGGAATGGTTAACTCTAGGAATTTATAGTAATAATTTTAGTATATGATGTAGAAACATCTTAATGAAATAGTTGTTTAAAGTATAAAAAGATGGGTAATAATTGTTTATGAAAAACTATTAGTATAATAAAACCATCATTTTTATTGTTTTAATATATCATATGTGTTTAATGCATGCTCAGTAGGTGTAAGGAGGCACCACAAGATTAAATTGTTTAATTTAAACTAAGAAGATTTTTGATGTTTGATATAGAAACTTGTATTAGTTAGCATTGTAGATAATTATTTATTTTCATGACTAAGAATAAAGTAGATTTAGATAATTCATTAACATTTTTTATCTCCCTTTTCTATAAAATTCAGTTTAATTACATTTCTGCATAAAATTCACACTATCCTTCCTCCTGATGTAATCTGTTTATAAAATTGTTTGTAGCTTACTAATATATACATATAACACAAGCACAGTGCATAGCCCATTCACTGTGGCTGGGACGTAATATTTCCCAGTGCAGTGGGAAATATATGTCCCAGCCAGAGTGAAGGGTTTTTTTTGTATTAGTAAATTTTCATTTTTGAAAAGTTTTTGTTGTCTTTCACTAAATCTTGTGGACCTGATATTCTTCACCAATACCATATGTTCTTTAACTTAGCTACTGGTATGTCCTGTTGTTGTTAGTAATTTCAGAAATTACTTTTTATTTTCAGTTTATAGCTGTGTTCCTCAACTTCATGACATCTCATAACACATCTTTATTTATTCTAGAAATTAGTTATGCCTCACCAGTGGCTTGAAGGAAACCTACCTGTTAATGCCAAATGTTGTGTGTGTGAGAAAACGTGTGGAAGTGTGCTAAGATTACAAGATTGGAGATGCCTTTGGTGTCGAGTCATGGTGAGTCTTACATGTTGTATGTATGAAAATTAAGTTGTATTTGATTTCTAGCCATAGCAAGTATTGAATTTTGATGTTTTGCTTAGTCTTATTGTCTAATGCCATTATATGTACTAATTTTGGTGTTCTTACTAGATTGGCAATATATGTATCCTAAAGTAATTATTAAATATTTTACCTGATTGAATATTGTACTATCTGATGAAATCTGATACCATTGGATATTAATTTTGTGATGAATCACATAATCAGATAGCATTTCCATTAACCCTTTTGCAACGGGCTGATATATTTAACATTGGCTTGACTGGGGAAGAACATTTATGCAACCATACATACAATAACTATGAGATATCCTCACAAAACTTGGTAATACTTTGTTACAGATGATAAGTAGCTTGTACACAAAAAAGACATTATTTTAATTATGTCTTGCTAATAAAAATGTTATTAATCTATAGTAGTTATTTGCACTCACACTGTGAATAGTTCAAGTGCAAGGTGATTTTCATTTTAAGTATAAAAATACTTTTCTTAATCTTATACTTTTTGTATTTCATTTGCATAACCTCTAGAACCTGTGAAATGAATATCAAAAGTTGTTTAGGTAAATGTTTATATTTTATTTCTCATTTTCTCTACCGTATCACTAACTCCAGCTATTATCATCAACATACAATGCAATAAAATGATTAAATTTAAGAAATAGAAAACAAATACATGCTTTTTAATTTTTTGTAGGATATCTTTAAAGATCTTCTTTTGGTTATATTCATAATTTAAAGTCTTTTCCTTTTCACATATAGTTAATTTTTAATATTTTGTTTTCCTTTCTTCTCCTTTACCATTTATAACAGTGCCCTTATGGCATATTACAGTAATTTTGGAAGAGATGCACAAACTTTTTGTCTAAAGTTTTGTGCTACCTCATAATATCATAAGCCTTGAGAACTGATGCAAAATATGATGTGTGTGTATATATATATATATATATATATATTGGTGTACTTTGGTGACAGATTTTCTTGTAGGCAGATTTTGTTAAACAAGACCGATGTCTGTAAGTTTACTTTCTTCTTAGAATTCTTCTCAAGAAGTCGATAAGCCGTCTTAACGTTGTTAGAACAACGGGTAAAAGTTGTAGCTAGTGATGAGTTGGCCGACGCGTTTCGAATGCATTCTGCAGCCATTATCAAGGCTGAATGTTGTGTGAATTGTGATTACTGTTGGTGGATATTTATAGGTATGGGTAAGCAGGTGGTGGTATCTAGCTCGTGGAAGGCGTTAATTGATGGAATGTTATATTGTGGCTTGGGGGTTTCTCGCCAAGAAGTAGCAGTGTGCGTGCTGATCCTGTCGATTGTTTGTTGATTATGGGAGTTTGCTGTAGGATTTTTATTGCTTCGTGTATTTGAAGAGTTGTGAAGTCGTTAAATTGGCGGTTTACTTTGGTGTTTTGTACTAGGTCCTGACGTGTGAGTTTTTGGTTGTGGATGCGGGCACAGTGTTTTTTGATGGCTCCGTTTTGTAGGTGCATTGTTAGGCGTCTTGACAGGGTTGTGGTAGTCATTCCGATGTAGGAGGCGTTTGCCAGGAGCTCGCAGTCTCCTTTATTACACTTGTACTCATAAATGACGTTCACTTGCTGTAGATCTGTTGTCTTTTTAGCAGGGCTGTTTTTCACGATAAGGTCTGACGTTGTGGTAGACTTGTAGTAGATGTTGAGTTGCAGTTTTGTGTTCTGTTTCTTTGGTGTAGTATTTTTGTAAACGATATCCTTTAGAATCCGTTCGTCTGTCTTGTATGACAACTTTTACCCGTTGTTCTAACAACGTTAAGACGGCTTATCGACTTCTTGAGAAGAATTCTAAGAAGAAAGTAAACCTACAGACATCGGTCTTGTTTAACAAAATATATATATATATAAAAAAGTGTTTAAACCTTCATTTATTCATTTTGAAACATAAATAATACATAATTAACTAAAGTATAAAAGTATGATCTAAATACAATTTATCTGTATCTTTAACTATAACATATTTAGGTAAGAAACAAATTTAAGTACTATAGTTGATCAAACAGCTAACAATACATTTCACAACAACAGGCAGTCACATGCACCCCATGACGAAAACTGCGTGCCAATTTCAAGATAAATGTTGTTGGATTATAGTGTAAAATGAGTTCTTTCTAATGGCTATATACAATTTATTACTTGTTTCAACTGCATTGAAATGTATATATCAATAGGTTAAGCAAATATCTTATTGTATACATGTACATTCACTCAACTGGCATTATATTATTGAAGATATGGAGTACCAAAGTAGAGAATTTATATAGCTCATGGGTATGTGACAATACATCTGAAGTTTTAAGTAGTTTTTTTAAAGGATTCTTTTGAAATAAAGGACTTAAAACTCTGAATCATAACATACATTATAATGTTAAATTCATTCACATACATTGATAGTAAAGGTATTTAATTTAATTTTTAATGTAACACAGTGACTTGCACAGAAAAGTATTTAAAGGGGTACCATATCAAAAGGGTTAACAGATTATCTCGGAAAGTTATGCAGGCGTGATGATACTTTCACGTGTATCCCACATAATAGGTATTGCATCATCTAGTCTTCTTGTGTTCTTTACTAACTTTTAAAGATAAAGTCAATAGTGTTAATACTTGGGTATAATGACTTTGTTATGTTCATTATCAATGAAATAGATTAATACCTATACAAGATTGCTGTATTTATGTTCATTATCTAAAGATGGCATCAGTTACTGAACTTATGTTCAGTACTTTGAACTAGAACCCATCAATAGGTATAGTATTTTTATAGTATTTACCTAGTATTTTTTACCTTATTTGTGTTCAGTATCTTGAATTTGTATCAGTAATGAGGCTAACATTTTTATGAATTGATCCTATTTATGCCAAATGCTTTGGATTAATTAATACTGCTCTGTGTTTTTGTTTCTAGTGAATGTATGTATATTAGTTATATCCAGAACTAGCATAAAATAGTTCATACCTGGTGAATGCATGTATTTTTGATAATTTGAATTAGTGTCAGTGAACAGGACTAGCACCTTTGCCTACTAAATATACTTATATCAACATAAATTAATAGAACTAACAGTTTTGCCTAGTAATTATATAATTATGTTCAGTATCTTCAACTACCATGGAAAAGGGTTATCAGCTTTACTTTTTTATAAGTGGACTCATATTTATTATTTCAGGAAACACAAGTTGATGAGGCTATAGTCTCTAATTGATTACTTGGGTCCTATGCAATGCAAAATCGTTTTTTGTTTCAGGACATATTTATACTATATTAAGATTAAAAAAACACAAAAACTGATATTTTTTTGGCACCATGAAAGGTAAAATATTTATTATTACTCACAGCTGACTAGTTTTGGTAACATGGTTACCATTATCTGAAAATGGTAACCATGTTACCAAAACTAGTTTGCTGTAAGTAATAATAAATATTTTACCTTTCATTGTGCCAAAAAATGTCAGTTTTTGTGTTTTTTATTCATAATATAATAGTACAATGTACCTGAAAATAGATTATACTGTATTATATATATTTTGCAGTACCACATTGTAGATAACTTTTGTGCTGCTGCTCTTGATAGGTTCACTCAAGCTGCAAAGTTTCTTTTCCTAAATGCTGTTCACTGGGAATCTGTCATGCATCTGTTGTCCCTCCTATTGCTTTGCATGGTATTGGTGATGATGATGCCTGGGAAGCTGTAAAACCAGTTGGGTACAGTCCACTTCTAGTGTTTGTGAATTCTAAGTCAGGTGACAACCAAGGCTTAAAGTTCCTGCGACGTTTCAAGCAGCTCCTTAACCCTGCACAAGTATTTGACCTTATGAATATAGGACCAGGACTAGGGTAAGTACATCAGGGTTTTATTCAGAGGATATAAACATGGGTATATGTTTTATTATTACATTTTACTTATATAGAATTAGAAATACTTTTTTTTTGGCTCCATGCACGTGGAATTTTATGTGAAAGAAACATTAATTATTCTTATTCAATTAATACAGAGTGCAATAAAGTAGCATTTCATATTTTAAAACATACAACTTTTTAAAATGTTTATGGTTCCTGATAATCACAAATGCCATCTAAATACTAGACATCTTTGATATTATAGTGAGTCTTGTGTTACAATGCATGTAGTCCAAGTTGGTTTTCCTGTATCTAAAACAGACAATAGACAAGAAGGTATACCGTAAGGTGCATTATTTTTGTTGCACCCTGTATCTTAAATTTTGTTATATGTTTGGATAATGAAATGATTAAATATTGTCATGCTATGATTAGTGAATTAGATTTGAGCTTGTATATTATTGTTTGGTTTAATATTTGTGCATAACAAATCTTCAAATGTCCTACTGTTTGATGCTCTGAATGAAGAATTGAATATTATGTTATTGTCTTACTTTTGACTCACTCTTTTTTAATTTCAGCAAATGTTACCAACATTATTTTGTATTAATACTGTAAGTGAAAATACATCTGTAGGCTGTACAAACAGGAAGATCTGGACATACTATTAGGTTCACAGATATAAATGAGTTAATTATGCATAACAGTAACAATATATATATTTGAACATATAACTTAATGGTTAATCCATATATGTATATAGGACCAGGAAATGCTTAAACATGTATTGTTGGAACACCCAATTACTTTGTTTAGCCTATATGATATAGAAATATGATTATAGGTTGAATGCACATATTATTTGTTTAAATGGTTTATGGGATAGGGACATGACTACGTGCATAATTGTTTGATATAATGTGTATTGGTCAGGACTCAGGAATGTGTTTCATCACCCTATAACCTGATTTAAGATATGTGGGACAGAGAAGTGTTTAAAAAATTATTGTTTGATCCGTAAGAATTAAGGATGTGATTGAAAACCTAATTTTTAACTTAATCCAATGAGATAGAGACATTGTTATACATATTTGTTTTTATTTAGTATATGAGGTAGAGACATGGCTACAGATATTTTTTGGTATAATGTACATATCTTATTGTTTGGTGTAATGTATAGGGTTCAACAGTGTGGCTAAATACACAATTGCTTGGGTTAACATGTGTGAGACATGAAATGTTTACTCATTTGTTGTCTTTGGTTTATTGTATGTGGAACAGGGATGTTATTAAAACTTTGAAATTTGAATTGATTAATGAAGGACATGGATATTGTTATACTTTTTATTGTTTAAAACTTAAATGTATGTTTCACACCTTATCGTTTGCTTTAGTGTATGTGAAACTCGAACATGGTTAAAACTCTCATGTTTATATTAACATGTAAGGAACAGAATAATGGTTGAAAATCAGCTTTTGTAGTTTAATATATTTTTGGGAAGAATATATTGCTAAGCCTTTATTTTTTGTATAAAGTTTATCAGATAGGGCGGTTAAAAATGTTTTCATTTGATTTATTGTGTTTAGTTCTTGTGTGTGTTAATAAGAGTATTTGGTATATAACAGCTATGGAATAGGACTTTCAAAGGATATTACACGTGCTTTAATAAATGAGTAACAAATGAATTACTTTTTTTGGAGGAAATTTGTGAGGTGATGTTTTTGACTTTTTAATATTGGTGTGGTAAATCCCAGTACACAGATTTCCCACAGAGTAGTCAGTTAGAACTGCTAACTGGAGATTTGAAGGATACCAAACTATGGCGTGTGTGTTTGTATATCTCTCCAAACTCTGTTTGGGTTTTCATTAGGAAGAGATAGTCAAAACATGGAAGGTGCACAACAGTTATCAAATATAAACAACTAAATCACAAACACAGATACTAACACCAGATACTGAAACAAAACAAGGACGGATGGTGAGTGTGTTGGATTTGGTGACAGAGAGAGAAGGGAAGCAAAACCTTTGTAAGCTCTCTCTCTCTCTCTCACCAGTGCAGGGTATATTGCCATATAAGTTAAACTAAAACACTAAAATATATAAGTAAATTTCAAAGTAAAAATATAAAACAAAATAAATTCTTGCTGAATGTCCAAACTAAACTGAAAGAAAATATAGACATTTCAAAAAATTTACATATTAATTAAGGAAGTAGAAAAAAATTTGAAACCATTCTATACCACATTGCAAAGAATTTGGGTTAATGGCTTAGTGTATGTTTTGTGAATGTGGGCTAAGATTATGGTGACTAACATGATGTATTATGTATAAATATAAGATTATAATTCACATGCTTATTTTATGTGTAAATGTTAGAGGTTTGGTTTTGTCATTAAATATTTGTTCTGTGAAACTGTACTAAAATTTCAGTGAATGAATGGCCATTTAATTTATGAATGTAAGTGAACATTTGGTTATTGCACTTAATGTTTGACCTCTGAGCTTGGGTTAGTGACTTAATGTTAAGTTATGAATATGGGCTGGCACTGCTATTATTTGACATAGTCAGTCAGTGTTCTAGGTAGTAGTGTCACATGGTCTTAATCCATTCACTGCAGCTGAGATGTATATTTCCCAGTGCACTGGGAAATGTATGTCCCAGTCTCAGTGAAAGGGTTAATGTTTGTGCAAAAACACAAAGTAATTCAGTTTGAACTTGTCTAGTTCTCTGACAGAGTAACTTTTTGTTTGGCCCGGCACGGCCAGGTGGTTAGGGTGCTCGAATCGCAATATGTGGGTCGCAGGTTCGAATCCCTGTCACACCAAACATGCTTGCCCTTTCAGCCATAGGGGTGTTATAATGTTACGGTCAAT